AACCGCTAAAATCTTGCTGTTTCAGCAGATCAGGATTCTGTTTGCCACAGCCTATAAGAGTGCTGAACTAGATCCCATGAATAATGATTTCCGTTTGAGCACCAATTCCATGTTTCTGTATCAAATCACATTCATCTACGATTATTTTTCTTATGAAACATGAAAGGTTATTTTGGAGAATCGATAAAGAATGGAAATCTATTATTTGAGGACTTCTTTTTCTTCCTCCTACTTTTTTTATTTTTAACTTATTTATTTATTTTTGAGACAGCTGTTTGCTGTGCAGCTGAGGCCAGCCTAGAATGTGGTATCTTCCTGCCTCAGCCACCCTACCACCACATCCAACTTTGTCTATTTTTTTTTCATTGATTTGTAGGAATTCCTGTATTTTTGTTATTAATCTTCAGATACATGACTATCAAATACTTTATTCCAATCTGTAGATTACTATTTTCATTATCTTAATTGTATCCTTGTTTCTATTTGGTTTTAAGACAGAACCTGGAAATATTGCTTTGAGTAGCCTAGAACTCACTGTGTATACCAGGCTGGCCTGAAACTGGTAGACTGTACACCTGCCTCCAGAGTGGTATGATTATAGACATGCACCACCACACATGGCTGACTGTTCTTCAGTGTACGGAAGTTTTAATTTGCCTTGGTTTTTGAGACAGGGTCCAGTCTGGTTTGTGTTGTGGTCAAGGATGGCTTTAAACTCCTGCCTCCTCTGAATTCTGTTATAGTTTTGTTCTCTGTGTCTCTATATTTTATCTAAGAAATCATTGCCAAATCCAATGTTGGGAAGTTTGCACTAGTATTTACTTGACAATTTATGGTTTTAACTGATCTTTTTTTTTTTTTTTTTGATGTATTTTGAGTTCAGTGTGTGTGTTGGGGGGAGATTCGAGGGTGTCTGGGGGTGAGACATGTACCTGATACGTATATGTGTGTTCTTGTTTTTGTGTCTATAAGTGTAAAGACTACAGACCAACAACTGGATGTCTTCCCCATTCACATTCCACCTTATTTTTGAGACAGGGTCTCTTCTTGAACTTGGAAGTCATAGATTTGGGGACATTGGTTGGCCAGTGACTCCAAGGATCCACCTGTCTCTGCCTCCCCAGCGCTGGGGTTATAGATGTGTGTCACCATGCCTGGCTTTTGCATGGTGTGGGAGTGGGAGATCTGATGCTTGTATAACAAGCACCTTACTGGCTGAGCCATCTTCCCAAGCCTTGAATTCATTTTTTATATAGTGCAAGGTAAGAATCCTGCTTCATTCTTTTGTGCACATGCAGTTTCACCAAAAGATTTGTCACAAAAGTCTTGCTACCCATTAAGTTGTCTTGACACTCTTTTAAAAAATATTTTAGTTACTATTTTTATTTTATGCATGTGAACATATTGCCTGCATGTATGTAAGTATATCCATGCCATGCAATGCCCTTGATCAGAAGCGGGTGTGGATCCCCTTGAACTGGAGTTTCTGGTGGTTGTTAGCTGCCATGTGGGTGCTGGGACATGAACACAGGTCCTCTAAAAGAGCAGCCATTGCTCTGAACTGCTAAGTCATCTCCACAAGCCCTGTCTTGGCATGCTTGTCAAAATCACCTGAGTATATATATGAGGGTTTATTTCTGAGCTGTCTATGCTGTTCTGTAGCTATTCTATATTCAGTGGGTGATTTGGTTTTTTAGTTCCCATTGTATCATTTGAGTACAATGCCTAAAAATTTAAATTTAGAGATAATACAGAATATTTTAGGGCAATAGCTAGTATGACCGTGGGAAACTGAAGCAACTCCACTATTAAAGTAAGGAAGGAATGCCTATTTCCCCTCTAATTTATAATCGGTTGCTTTCAACGTATACATCATTATATACATATATATAATTTTATGTGTGTGTGTGTATTTCATTATATAAAGGTTTTATTGTTGTTTCTTTTCTCTTTGTGGTGCTGGGGATTGAACCTAGGGCCTCATCCATGTTTGGCAAGTTGTCAACCACTGAGTTATTCCCTAATTTTTTAATTTTTTTATTAGTTTTATTTTTTTATGTGCACACGGCAGCTAATTTTTTACTTTTAATTTTTGAGTCATTAGTAAGGTATTCACTTCCTGAGTGAGTTGCAGGACATCCTGAGTGGATTGGATCAGGAGGGACTTAGGCAGGGTGCTGAAAAACTGCCCTCTCTTACATTTTTTCATTAAGCATGCAACCTCTGGGCTCCAAGATATGATTGTAACAGGAGCCCATTGAATTAAAATTTCTCCAGAAAATTCCATGTTGGTGAAGGATAAATGTCTCAGCTTGGAAAACCCCAAGCTAAGATCCGAAAAGCCCTGGCTAAAAACTGTGTGAAACCCCAGCCCCTAACCCAGTGATTGTGCTGTCTGGGCAAAGGTATGCCAGCACTCATTATCCCAAATCCCCAAATTGTAACAACAGCATTTATTGTCAGCATGAAAAAACAAGATGGCAGGAAAATACCTGGTTGTTTCTCCTAAGCCCCATAAAAACTGAGACCATTTAATGTGCTGTAGTGCCCCAGTTTCAATCCCAAGGAGAAAGTGTGGTCCTTCATTGCTCTTAACAATTGGTTTCATCTTTCATTTTCATGTCACCCTGGTCAATCGCAATCTAACATTTTCTAACATTTGGTACCAAAACTGAGAAGATTTTGGTGTCCCAAGTCCCACTCATTCCCTCTTCTCTCATCTTCTCCCTCTTACTTCCTTCTCTCTCTTTCTCTTTCCTTCCCAGTAGGTCCCATCAAGGGTCCAAGTACCCTCTGAGATCACTACTGGGCTAAACAGCTACCAGACTAACCTGAAAACCTCACCCTTGGGGTTATGGTTTTTTTGCAGCCTCTGACACATGAGCAGTACAAATCCTGTGCTAGGATTTTATTGGTGTCTTGAATAAGCTCAGTTCCCAGTTTTTCAAATTTTTCTTGACTCTCTTATCCCCTCTGACCTCCAGAACAGAGACCCCCCCTCACCATTTGGCCCAACAGAGCATCCGAAACTCATTCTTTAAGGTAAGACTCCTTCGCAATTTTCCCTTTTCTGGATTTTATCTTTGGCTCTGCCTTCCAGGCCACTAGAACTTTGAGATACCCCTTCCAGCCTCAGGATTTCATTTTTCGGTCTCCTCCCAATAATGAATGATGAGTTGATGCCAAGGAGAAAGACTTATGGTCTTACATTGTCTAAAATGAGGTCCAAGCCTTCTGTTCCCTTGGCCTGCCTTAGACACAACCTTAAAGCATTAGTCTTAACTGACCTTAAGCCTGCCACTCTAATTCATTTATCAACTGAGGTCTGGACCCAGTATAAATTGGACAACAATCATGTGTGGCTTCCTGAATCCAAATTCTCACTGATCTAAATAGTTTCATAAAAAATAGACTAGCAAGAGATTGGAACTATTCTATATGTCCTCAAAAATTCTGCCTCTGCTTTCTTTTCTGTCTCTCCTGGCAACTGAAGCTGACAGAAAAGCTATTGTGCCACCGAAACTTCACATTTCCCCTCCTGCGTCTCCTCTCTGTAAGATCACACTCCCTGTCCTCCATGAATTGGCCTATGGGGGCCCTCTCCACCTTGCTCCCCACCCATGTTACATGCTTGACAGAGCGTGGCTTTTCTCCATGCTCCACAGGTATTTTTTCTGCAGCTCCACCCACAGCCACAGTCTGTGGCACTGGGTTATCCCTGAGCCACTGCTTGCAAAAGCCTCAGCAAATGTTCTTTTTGTATAATTTATTAACTGGCTTTTAAAAGAAACTGTTTTGGGTTTTTACATTGTTCTGACTTGTTTCTAAAACGCATTATTTTGGGTTATGACTTTATAATGTATGTATAATGGTTTCTAAAGGTGATTGCTTTATATAATATTCACATGTTTTTAAAGAAGATCATTGTCTCTTTGGTAGCCTGCTATCAAGCTTTGCCCCGAGTCCCAACTTCCACTTGATGCAAGTTTGTTTTTAGGTTCCCTGTCTCCTGAAAACCTGATTCCTCCATGCTATAGCTTCCATTCTGCTTGTGGACTCTCCCTCACCTCTTCATTCTGCCTGTGGGATCTCCCCAGTCCTTTTACCCTTGCTTTAACTGTCACCTCGATGGGATTTTTGTAAACATCAATTTGATGGTGCTCTCCCCTCTATCTGCTGTCTACATTCAATCAAAATTTGAACTCTCTAAAACTGTGTTTTCTATTTAGTTTTACCTGGGACCCTACAATGCCCCACTATGTACACAGGTAATATTGATTATTATATTATCTTTTGTATTCCATGTCTTTAATAATTCTATACAGCATGCGCTGAGCCAAACACCTGCCATCTATTTCATATAATTGTGTCATATATGTCTATAATAATTGTTTTCATGTGTTGTTTGAGATCTCATGTAATTGTGTCATGTGTGTCTCTGATAGTTGTTTTCATGTGTTGTTTGCAGCTAAACAATTTTTTAAACTGTGACCATTTCAGCTTTTTCTCTTTCTCATTCTTTTTATTGTGCACAAGAACTATTAGTTTTATTTTCATTTTTGGCATGCCTAATTAAAATGCACATGTGCAGATTCATGAATATGAATATTTTGACAAATACATACTGCCTTATAAACTTGGCAATGCTAAAAATCTTAAAGACCTATTAAACACTGGGGCCAGAGAAATGACTCAGTGGTTAAGAACACTGAATACTCTTGCAGAAGACCAGGCTCAATTCCCAGCACCCACATGGCAGCTAACAACGGTCCGTAACTCCAGTCCCAAGGGATCCGACAGCCTCTTCTGATCTCCGAGGGCATTGCACAACACAGGCGTACTTACCTACATGCAGGCAATACATGCATATGCACAAAATAAAATAATAAAAAAATAGAGAACATAGTATAACTTTTAAAAGTCCCACAGTCCTTAAAAATTCCAGTATTTTAAAAGCTCAATGTCTCTTTAATGTTTCCTGTTCCTTTTGGATTGTCCATATCTTTGCCAAAAAAAATCTATAAACATTTAAAAAGAAAATTGATAATTTAAAAAACCTGCTTCAAGGTTTACAAAGACATCTTAAAGTTTCTAAATAACAATATATTCAGAATTATTATGAGTATTACTGTTGAAGCCAAAAAACTTTCAGTTTGCTGCTCTGTTTTGTGTCACATGCACAGTTATAGCTTCAGATGGGATAGATGCAGGATAATTTGACTCAATAGGAGCTAGATTTTGCTTCCCTGTACCAGATGAGTACAATCCAAAAGGAAACAGTTTTGGTGAGATTGGTCTGGATCCTGAAGCTTATTTCCTGTCTATAGGTATGTGATATGATTCTTACCCTCTTCCTTCTGAAAAGTTATAAATTAGGATATGAAAACTACGGAGGGCAGGGGGTTACTTCTGTTTGCATTAGAACAGCCTTCATTTTAGGCCAACCTAAGAAAATTATTTTTAAATCCTTTTCCTAGACTATGACTACTTGACCTGCGATGTTCGATCTCTTCTTTCTCTGACTCAGGCCATAAATTAGTTATTATTAACAGTAACAAAGGCTGGCTTAAGAAACAAAATATATGCCAAGTCAAGGTTTCTTCAAGAATATTTGGGGGTTTTGTTCAAGCTTTATCTACATGTTACACAGTAATTAAAAGTACCAGACCAGTGTTACTAACCTTCTTGGAAAGTTGAAGGCCCATACTAATCTGGTCAGAGGGACTTGAAGGAACAGTTTTTTGCCCCTTGCCCTCCATGGTCAACTAAGTCCCAGGGGACTATGGGGCATCTCAAAATGTCCTGTAACTATAATGAGTCACCTGTCCTCTTGTTCAGGAAAGCCATGGAGATCCCACTGGATGGACTCTAACCAATGTCCAGTCTACGAAGAGGAGAGTCAGTACACAAGCAAACTTATCCTCACGTAGATGGAGCTCCTAAAATGCCAAAAGAGCTAGCACCCCCCAACCCGCAAGTGCTCCCTGAGGACTTGTGAGGTGCTTCACCAGAGAAGTCCACTCAAAGTTTTGCCAAAAGTCTTGCTGGCCAGCAGCTACACAAGGATGTCAGAACCCGAATGTGTAGCCCTGAGCCGTCTCTAGGGTAAGCTTTTATACACAGAAACCATAACCAGGGGTGAAAAGTTTACTTTCCCAAGCTTACAGGTGGAGAGCCCCCTTAAACAATTTCAATTTTATTAAGCAACAATTACTATTTTGCAGAAGCAAGCCAAGCATAATCTACAGAAGCCATAAATCTGCAGTTAGCAAGCACACCCTGGGACACACTCACCTGTTCCCAAGATAACTGGGTCCTGCTGATATGTGTTCCCATACCCTAGGCCAGCTCCCTGGTAATTTCAGAGACTAGAGTCAGCCTAAGCTTTAACATGGCATAGCTATGGTCAAGAAGGTGCCATACCACATTCTGCACCGATTCTATGGGCATGAATCAAATCCAGGACTCATCTAGGGGATTTTTTTTTAGGACTATGATTTTTACTGTATTTACTCACAATTGTTCAGAAAAGGTCCAACTGACAGAGCCAGAAGTAGGAGTACTAGAGGCCCAGCAAAGGCTTTGAGCAGGATAGTGAGCCTTGGAGACCAGGAAAATAAAGACTGATATTAGTTGTCAAACTAGCACTAAGTTAGACAATTATTCCTCACTAATGATTTTGTTATTAATTTAAAAAATGCTGCTTAAATATAAGACTTCAGGTCTTGGCCTATTTCAACACTATAATGTGTACCTATATAGCTAAGAAAACTATTGCACTATGTTTAGTTGACTAGCTCCAAAGATTCATTCAGGAACATGTTAAGGTCATCACCCAATCAACACAGGCTGAACATGAGAAGACCTGTTTCTACTTCACAAAGTCAGCTCTGCTACCTATATACCTCTGGGTCCTAAGGACAATCCCTGAATCAACCCCCTCCATCAGGACGACCAGCCCAAAGAAGCCAATGTCAGAGACCGTTGTTCCTTTTCTTTATTTGTCCTCAGGGTCTGGAATGAAGGGTTCATGTCTCAGCTTGGAAAACACCAGCTTAGGTGAGAAACCCCTGGCCGGAAAACTGTGTGAAACCCTAACCCCTAACGCGGTGACTGCTATCTGGGAAAACATATGTTGGCACTAATTGTCTCAAACTACACACACACACACACACACACACACACACACACACACACACACACACACACACACACACATATATATATATAAACAGGGCTGCAGAATACCTGATCTTTCCTCCTAAGCCCCATAAAAACTGAGCCTAACTCTGCTGTAGTGCCCCAGTTTCAATTCCACAGAGAAACTGTTGCCACGTTCATTGTTTTTAGTAAAGAACAATCTGCTCCTAAGGTTGGTCTCATCTTTCATTTTCACATTGCCCTGTTCACTCTAGATTCACTCTAGATCTAAATTTTCTAACATCTGGAGGTAAGACCGGAACCCACAAGAAGCCTGACACCAGAGAAGGGATTTATCTCCTAGGAGACTTCCTCTCAGTTCTAATAATTATGGCTTGCAGCTGAATCTATAGTTCCTGATTTTCATCTTTTCCATAAACTCTAATGCTATCATAGGTAAGATGGAGAGAGACTGAGGATTTCTGTCTTTCAAGTTCTGACCAGAACTGTAAATAAATGTATTTCCGTTTATTCATTTCTGTCTCCTTGTTTTTTGATAGACTTGTGAACAATAAACAAAAGTTTCTTGTAACATGGTCTCCCGATCTGAGAAAGAATTGCAGCATAGCCAAGATAAGTGACAATTCAGGACTTTATACCCACAGTACCTTTGGATAGGTGCAATGCCCAGCCCTGATGAGGGAGCTTCATACTGACACTTGGCTGGCCGGGCACACATGAGAGACTCAAGGGAAAGTGCTCTCCTTCTGCTCAACAGGGCAGGCTCAGCTGGATAGGAAAACAACAATGATGATTGTCACAACAGTGGTCAGTGCTGCCCTGTCCACTGAGCAGACGCACTCACCAGGTTTGTTCCAACACCGTGGTAGAGAAAGCATACTTCACTGTAGAGAAATCTTTAAAAATCTGGCTTAGTCTATGTCAAAAGTACTGTCTCCAGGACTGGAATCTCTGGGTCTAGGCAACTAACTCAGTCAGACCAGCAATTGAGAAAGATTCATTTTCAAGTTCTTAATTTAGGGTGTGAATCCATAGCAATACTAGCAAAAACAAGAAAAACCCTAGCTGCCACAGCTCAAGTCCATAGCAGCTGCAAGGTGGAACACCAATGCAGTGACAGTCCAGAGAGTACTAGGTGCATTGTCCCAGTTATGCTGATTCAAGTCAGTTGGCTCATCCTTGTCATTCAAGGGCAATTTGTTTTGAAATTCAAAGGTGTCTGGAAGGAAGACCCTACCACATCATGGGAGACCAAAAGAGGAGGCTGCCTGGTTGACCAGAAGGAAAAGGAAAGAGGGAAAATGTTGGCAAGGGCTTTGATTGGGGTCTCTAGGGAAACACTTGTTCATCTTTTGTCTTCTTTATGACATCCATTCTTACTAGAATGAAAAAGATTTTGTGTTTTCCTGATAGATTTCATTGACATGTAGCAATAATTGATTATTTGAGATCTTTCTGCCTTTTTTTTTTCTTCCTATAGCAGGAATCAAAACCTGGACTTCCTACAAAATAGGCAAGTGCTCCACAACTGAGCTATATTCACCCCTTGGTTTCTTATTTTGAGTCAGAGTTTTGCCTTGAACTCTCTCTGAAGCCCAGACAGCTCTTGAGTTTGGGGTCTTCCTGTATAAAACTCCCTAAGGGTTGAGAAAACAGCTTTGCATCTGGAGGCCTGGATTCATTCTTCATGTAGGGACTGATTGGCAGTAACGTTTTTGTTTCCCTAATCTATTTCGCTATGTGGTTACCATGAGGCTTAAAAATATCTTTTGAGCCATTGAAGGCTCAGAGTCACAGTCAAAAAGACTAGAAAAAATCATTTGACTTTAGCAAACTATTTGGAGTTTGCTTAGTTTTCTATCTTTCCTTTTTTAAAGACAAGATCTCAGATATCCAGGCTGGTCTGGAACTCAATATGTACTTGAGGCTATCCTTAAGTTCCTGATCTTCATGCATTAACCCAATCATTGTTTAACACCCTTTAGTCCCAGACCTAGGAAGGTAGAGGCAGGAGGATCAGGAATTCAAGGCCAGCCTTGGCTGTCTCAAGAAAAGCAAATAAACAGTTTAATGCAACTATTGACCTTTGACCTTCATGTTACCTGAATATTTTCATTCTTCTATAGGTTTGGGAATTCATTGTTACTCTCCCTTTCAATGAGTTTTCTACCTCTTTGGCATTCTCCACTCCTTCTTGCCTTCCCATCCAGTCTTAACTATTGGCTCCTTTTTTTTTTTTTTTTTTTTTTTTTTTAACTTGAGACAATGTCTTACTGTGTAGCCCTGATAGGCTACACACAAGCTAGCCTCTAACTCACCTGCCTCTTTCTCCCAAGTGCTAGGATTAAAAGTGTACACCAACATACCTGGCTAATACTGGCTTTTTAAAAGATTTATTTTATGTGTATTAGTGTTTGCATGTATATATGTATATGTACCATATGCATGCCTGATAGCCATGGAAGCTGGAAATAGGAGTTGGATCTCCTGGAACCAGAGTTACAGATGGTTGTAAATTGCCATGTGGGTGCTACAAAATGAACCCAAGCCCTCTGCAAGAGCAGCAAGTGTACTTAACTGCTGAGTCACCTCTCCAGCCCCAATACTGGCTGTTTTAATGCTGCCCCAAAATAAATTTATTCATTTTGTTAGATTTAGGAGAGCAGATAAAGGAAGGAGTTTAGAGTTTAGAAATAAGAGTCAGAGCCAGACCTGCAAAAGGCAAGAAATGTGTCCTTTACTCAGGGAACACAGCAAAAGGCAGATACCCTTCCACTGGATGAGGGCATCTGCAACTGGGGATAGGGGATTGGACTTATATAGGAACTCTGTTGAACACAACTGCAGGAGTAAACTTGGTGCCAGGGTCTGGTGTCCTTGAGTGATAGAGGGGTTCTCTTCCAAGATTATTTTCTCAGGCAGGCAAGCTATCTTAGGGCAGGAAAGGAGACAGGTTGGTTCCATAAACAGTCCTTCAGTCCTGGGTGTGAACAGTTGATACAGCTTATACAAGGCCAGCCTACCAATTTATGGCTTCCCTAGTGAGCCTTGTGCCTCTCCTGAAATTCACAAATTCTGTCACATTTCAAATAGTCTATCAGTATTTTTGCTGATTTTTTCCCCCTCTATCTGCCATCTCCCTGATTCTTTTTCTTGATTCATTCTACTACTGATGCCTTCAACCACATTTACAAATTGTGCTCACTAAGACCCATGCAAATTTAAGCAGACAAAAGCCAGCACAGAACTGTGGAAATGAACAGCAAGCCCCAATCTTAGTGGAAGAATTATTGGCAGCTGATTACTGCTGGGTGAGGAAGAACTAATCTTCTTAAAGGGAGAGACTCTAAATAGGTTGACTAAAGCCTGTTGTATGAACTTACACTGAGGGACATCTGGGGACACTAACTTTACATAATAGGTGATATGAACTACAGTTGGGGGGGGCTATGGGAGGGTGCCAAAGTGGAAGGGGTATAAAGATGATTTTCTGTATGAAATACACAAAAATTCAATAAAAAGTTTTAAAAAAAAACATTGCACTTAGTAAAATTTCTAGCTCAAGAATTTCTGTTTAATCTCTTCTTTTGAGACAGGGGCTCAAGTAGTTAAGACTATCTTCCAATTTATCATGAGGTAAGGATGACCATGATCCTCCTAACTCTACCTCCCAAGTACTGTGATTATAGATTTGCATCAGCACACCAGTTTATATGTAGTGCCTGAGATTAAACCCTGGGCTACCTACATGGTAGGCAAGCATTCTACTAACTGAGCTGTATCCTCTGCTATTCTGTAGCAATTTACCTAATATAGCTCCCTAAGACTCAGGATGTACTAAACATTCCATCCTGCAGGAAAGTAAAACCCAGGAAGTAAACAATGCAATAGCTTCAGGAAGTCCCTGAAACTGACCAGATTCATTATGCCAGCCCAACCCAAAAGTTGATAATAAGCTGTAAGGACTGCTGAGAGACACTCTCTGACAAAATTAATTACTTGGAAGAGGCAAATCAGCCAAGCTACCTGAAAGAGGCACAGATCAACTGAACTACCTGGAAAGACATGCAGCAACTTGTCCAACTACCTGCAAGTTGTGGTGTGAGCTCCAGGTTTCCAGCTTTTGTAAGCTGTTACCCATGACTGGGTGGGCTTATGGTGATGCTGCTCTGCTCCTGTTAAGTAACTCCAATAAAACTCATTGGTTCGGGGCTAGAGAGATGGCTCAGTGGTTAAGAGCACTGACTGCTTTTGCAGAGGACTCGGGTTCGATTCCCAGCACCCACATGGCGGCTACGAACCATCCTTAACTCCAGTTCCAGGGGAATCTGAAACCTCTTCTGACATCTGCGGCATTGCACGACACAGGTGCATTCACATACATGCAGGCAATACAAAATAAAACATTAGAAAAAAAAAAAAAACTCATTGGTTCACTGAGTTGGACTTAGGTAATATTCTTACTTTGGTCTGTCATTGGTTTCCTATCTGTAGTGAGTAGAGATTTGTTCCTATCTATCCAGGAATGGTATCATACAACACCAGTCCTCCCCCATTTTAAATGTTTTTTTCTCTTTTAATTATTGTTACATTCATTTGTGTGTGTATGTGTGTGCGTGCTAGCCAGCCTCAGCATATGTATGTGTGTGTGTGCCAACCACAGCAAGTGTGTGAAAGTCAGAGGACAACTTGCAAGAGTCAGTTCTCTCCTACAATATGGATCCCAAGGATTGAACCCACTGAGCCATCTTGCCTCCCCCTACTCATTTTAAAAGACTGGATCTTGGGTCTGGAGAGATGGCTCAGTGGTTAAGAACACTGGTTGTTCTTGCAGAAGACCTGAGTTCGAGTCCTAGCACCCATATGGCAGTTAACAACTGTCCATAACTCCAGCCCCCGGGGATCCTACATCCTCTTCTGACCTCCATGGGCATTGCACGACACGGGTGCACTTACCTATATGCAGGCAATACATGCATACACATAAAAAATTTTTTAAATTTTTAAAATTAAAAAAAAAATAAAAGATTGGATCTCATGTAGTTCTGGCTAGCTTCAGACTTGCTAGGTAGTCAAGGATGGCCTGACTCCTTGCTCGTCCTGAATCAGCTTTCTAGAGGCTAGGATTCTAGACATGCACTGCCAGCTGTTGATAAATTTCTCTCTTAGAGTATTGAATCATTTCTCTGTTTTGTTAAAACTGTTGCCCACAGATTGCCCACACTGATTGCTGTTGGATCTATTTCTGATTCCTCACTTTGATCATCAGGTGAGGTCCGGTTCCCTGAAAGTTTTTGAATGCCAGTTAATGAGGGTCATTATCTGCACATTGAAAGATTTAGTATTTATATCATTCTTAATAATCTGGTTTTGAGTATGCCTGTCCTTCCAGAATGCTTGTTTTCTCTGAGCCTGCAATCAGATCCTCCATTTGAGCACTAAAATGGGCCCTAAGGGCATACTGACCGCAGCTTGGCTCTTGGTGGATTTTCTCTGCTTCGGCAGTAGAGCATGATTCAAGCCCAGGCAGGTCCCAAATTTGCAGTTGGTATGCAACTTGACCTGGAAGAGCCCCTGAAAAAGGAAGTCCATCATCCCAAGCCTTTACTTGGACTTGGGATGGGCCAGAGCACCCAGGCAGCTACTGGACTGAGGCCCACCGCTACAGAAATCACTGCAGGATTTTCATTGTCCAGGCAGAATGTCTAGTAGAAAGCAGCTACATATTCCTATCCAGGCCCAGGGTTTCCAACACTTCAATGCTGTGTCATACCCTGAGCCAACAATCCACTATTCCAGTCCAGCACTTGATTGGACCAAGGCTATCACTGCCATGAGCTGCCTATCTAAGTGTACTTATGGTAGTCCCAAAACCATTGCCACTGACCACAGGCATTGCTGAAAACATTGCAAAATTTATAGACAGAAGTCACATGTACCTACTTGGCTGGGGCATGTTCTAAGGGCTGTCTACATGTACTAACTTGAGGTTGGGGCCATCAGGGTCTGCACAGTGTTAGGCTTCACCAGGCTGGCTCTAAGTGCCAGAGCAAAGCCTTGCCCTTACTACCCTCTCCTATCCTATAAGGGGAATCTTGCTTCACACTGTGCTGTCTGAGGTTATGGTGATGTTGGTGAAAGCCATCACTTGGCCTCCCAGGCTATACTCCCAGGTTCACGCCTAAGAGTTATAAGTGTGGGGGCCTGCTCAGTGTGAGGAGTGTACCAGAGTTCCACAAGCTCCACATTACAGCTGGCATTGATGTAGGCCAAAACACTTATCTGTCCCATGGGGTGTGGTTTCTGCCTGGTGCTGGGACTAGTCTAGGTTTCACTTGGGAGTAGTGACCTGGGGATAGCTGAGTTACTCAAGATCAGAGAGGGGTGTTGGGAACAGACACTTGGCTGCTAAGACTCAGGTTAAGCTGAGTCATACCTGAGCATCATAGGCCCAGGGACTTGACAAATGTTGAAGGAGTGGGGGTAGACAGCCATGTGCTCGGGTTGAAAGAAAGGCTGGCAGTGATGCAGGCCTAATTCCAGTCTGCCCCACTCAGGAGCAGATGCTGGGGAAGGCTCTGTGAGCTCTGGCCTGTTTCCCTCCTGTTGCCAATTTCCTTGACAGGCTGGCACTGAGAGTCAAGGAAAAAAGTCTGTGCTAGCTTTCATGCATTGCTCCAAGGTGCTAGAAACCTGCACCCATTTTGCTTCCTGAGGTGTAGGGGGTAGTCTTTCGGCCTCTTTGCTGCTGCAGACCAGCTGCTCATTCTACCCTAGGACAGCAGATACAGGGGCCTCAACTCAATTCCTTCTTCTTCCCCCAAGTGGGACCAGTCTTATTTCTTGTTTGGAGCTGGGAGAAGGGCATCTCTTCTTTCTGCCTTCTTAAATGATGACTTTCTTATTATGAGCCTGAGACCAGGCGCTGTGGTGTGATGTCCAAGCTCCAATGTTAGGAAAGGAGGAGGATCACAGGAGGTTTGAAGAGGATTTGGGGAGAGATAAGATATACTTTATGCACCAGCACAATGGCTGCTAGGCAAGCATCCACTGGCATGCAGTCACTGGCAGGCACCCAGGCAAAGACTGGCATACATGGACCACACACACAGGCAGGCACAGGCACACATGCAGGCAGGCACACAGGCCACACAGAGGTATGCACATAGACCTACAAGCAAACACACACATGCAGGCTGGCAAAGGCGGAAGGCTCCAGCCTCTTACCTCAGCCATATTTGTACAGAATTACACAAAAGTGGCACTCTGCCAAAAGCAGTTACATAACAAATTACACCACTGTTTATTTTGGGGGATCCCTGCACATCTGGTGTAAGCCATTTTGTGCTGACTCATAGCCCTCTGGATGTCTAACATTAGCCATGTTGGCCCATGTTGGCTATCCATATCAGCACCATGTTGTCTAAATATAAATTGGCCCTTACAGCCTTTTGTTTTCTACATGCGATCACATGGCTTCCTTAACTTTTATAAAGTTTTGGTGAGAGAATTATGTTCAGATTGGTATACAAGGGTAAGTCATCCCTGGAACATTTCCTGAACCCCAGCTTGCCCTGGGTTCCAATGATGCATTTCTAATAGTCAATTATATACTTAGTTGGGGGGCACTTTACCCATCACACCCCCAAAATAGATAATAGTTAATTCCTTGGAGTCTGATGAATCCAAGCCTTGACTCTTTTGACACAGTTGTATACTAATTAACAGAGGTTCCCTTTATATAAACTGTGTGGCACCTTGTGAGGAGAAATATTTCGTATAGTTAGTTTGAGTGACATTTTACTACCTGTGCCCATTTCTTCATTGTCCAGCTGTATCAATTTCAACTGGCAGTAAAATAAACTGAACTGGTCCTCACTGTGCCAACCTTAAATACAGCTCCGTAGTGACCTGCTTACCCCATGTAGTCACAATAGTCAGCCTTGCACAGCACTGTAAAATTCACAAGAGTTCTATCCCTCTTACCTCCAGGAAAAGAGAAAGTTTTTCCAGCTTACTAGAAACAAAACTGCAAAGATGCCAAGTGACTTGTGTGTTAGCCCAGTCACTTCCCCTAGAGTATCACTTGATGAGACAGAATCAAACATCTTCCTCTTGCTTGAATATCCAAACTCACAGGTACTTTTTTTCCTTATGTCCCAACCAAAGCAGGTACTGGAGCCAGAATTTTTAGTTCAGTCCCTCCTCTTCTTCCTTTTCTTGTCATAGCTGTTCAAGGAAAGGGAGGAAAGAAAGAAGCAAAGTTTAAAAGAGGAAAACAATAAAGAGAAAGACAGAGGCAAATAGTTAAAGGATATAGATGGCTAAGTATGGTGGCCTATAATCCCAATGCTTGGACAGTGGACACAGGAAGTGTTAGGTTTAGCAGGGCAGAAAAAGGAAGGAGTTTAAAGTTTAGAAATAAGAGTCAGAGTCAGACCTGAAACAGGCAAGTAACAGCAAAGGGCTGACAGGTCTTTTCTTTGGGGAATGATTATCTGCACTCTGAACGGGGAACAGTCTGGCCTTATATAGGAATTCTACTGCAAGAGTTAAGTCCATGCCAGGGTTTGGTGCCCTTGAGGGTCTCTTTTCTCAGACAGGCAGGTGAGTTATCTGTAGCACTAAAAGAGACAGGTGGACTCCACAAACAGTCTCTCTCAGTCCAGGGAATGACCAGTTGATAAGGCTTGAGCAAAGCCAGGCTTAAGAAAGGCCAGGCTGCTAATTTATGGCTTTCCCTAATGAGGCTTGTGGCTCTTCCACAATTCACATATTCTATCAGGAAGATCAGAAGTTCATGGTTGTTCTTGGCTAAATATCAAGTTCCATGCCAGCCCAGCCTCATGACAGTCTCAATAAATAAATAAGTAAATAAATAAAATTGCAAATAACGAGATCCAATAAAGAAAGAAACAAAAGAAAGAGAACAAAACAACATCAGAACCAAAAAATCCTCCAGGCCAAGGTACTTGTGTTAAAGAACCTCCTGTCCTCTAATATTTGGGATCTTTCAGGTATGCAGAGGCTGTGGGTCATAGCTGGGGTTCATTTTCATTCCTCTGGTGCCTACCAAACAGACTGCTTCTGTAAGCAAGTTGAGAGCTATTCCCTGAGGAATATGTTATCAACCATAGGGTTACATTCTCTGCAGAGAAACCAATTTCCTTGCTATTTATACCAGAGCTGCTGCTGGCCTTAAGCTTCTCTGCCTGGGGTCCTAGCAGGTGCTCACTGACTCTGATAGCCCCTAGTCTGTGCACCAGTCTGCATGTCAAACACCCAAGGCAAGGCATAGCTCTAAAGATGTCCAAGAGTACAAGAAACAGAGTACTGAGCCTGGCACTGAAAGTGTGAGTCTGGGATCTGAGCAGTTGAGCAATTCACCTGCCTCATTCTAGTCCCTGTAAGATCTGGCTTGCTCTAGAATGTACAAGCCAAGCATCTCTCTTCTCCCTTTCCTTATGGAATAACATAGGATGGGGCAAACCATCATGTCTTCTATAGCAACATCTTCCCACTTTAGTTACAGGGTGTCCCCAAGAATGCTGAATTGTGATTATTCTGTGTTTTCATGTTCTCAGAAAGCTGTTCCTTCAGGGATATGTTGTTAACCACAGAGCTTCATTTTCTACAACAATGGATCTACTTTCCAGGTGGTTCCTGGCTCTAGAACTCTGAGATGCATACAAATGGATTTCTTCCCAAAGTTAACATGCCACTCAGCAAGTCACTATCACACTGAATCCCTGCAGTGTGTGGAGAGGTTGAAGACAGTGAGTTTCACCTGTAGCTGGAACTGTCAACTTTTTTCTTTCACGTTGATTACATTTTAAAGAAATGGAAAGATGCTTTCAGCTTAATTTTTTTGTTATAAGGACCCCCTACATTACACAAGATGGCCTCAAACTTTCAGCAATTGCCTCATCTACCTAAGTGCTGGGGTCACAGGTGTGTACTACCACATTTGACTTAAAAGTGATTTCAGTTTCTAGGGGTTTTCCATATCATTTTTATTTTGTTGTTGTTTTCATACAGTATTAAAAAGAAAATGCAGTACATTCACATTTTCCTGAGCACCTGTACAGAAGCTCTCTCCATGGATGAGACTGTGAAGACTGAAGCTCATTCTGTAATAGCGTAAGATATAAATGATGTCTGTGTGTACAAACATTTCTGCATGTTCCCTGTTCAAGCCTTCAAGGTCTCCTTCTTCCTCTAGCATTCCAGCCATTTTGTATCTACTTACAGTGTTTTTAAAAGTACCAATCAAAATGTTTATTGTTATCTGTAAGAGACATGAAAGTAAAAAATTATAAAAAGTGTTTTGTTTTGTTTTTTTTCTTTGCTCAGGGCCCTGCTTTAGTGAAATCTCTCTTTCTGGGTCACTGTATCAGTACAATAAACTGCCCTCCATGTTTTGGCTTTGGTGCCCTGGTCTCCTCTATTCTAGGCCTATTCTATTTAGGGACTTGTTGGGAAACTGGAAATGGTTAGCTGTACTTCTTTTTGTTATGAGGTATCCCACCAGAGAAGACTGTTCAGACTGGAGTATTGCCAAAAGAAAGTCTTTATAAGCAACTGGTGACTACACTGACCATTAGATCCCTAGTATAGCCTGGAGCCTTTTTCAGGGTAGACTTTTACACAAAAAAAGCATATCCTTGTCCACTCAGGGGTGGAAAGCATCCCAAACAGTTTTCCATAGCTCAGGAGTGGAAAAGTTCCTACAGGTGCAAGCCAAGCAGAGCGGAAAGTACAGAAGCCAGAAACAAGCAGTTAAATAAGAGAGGCCGGGTACATACTGACCTTTTCTCAAATCCACATACTGGTATAGCTGGGCCAACCTTTTTTTTAAATTTTATTTATTATTTTTATTTTATGTGTATGCATGTATTGCCTGCATGTAGGTAAGTGCGCCCATGTGGTGCAATGCCCTCAGAGGTCAGAAGAGGCTGTCTGATCCCCTGGGACTGGATAGCTGCTATGTGGGTGCTGGGATTTGAACCCGGGTCTTCTGCAAGAACAACCGGTGTTCTTAACTGCTGAGCCATCTCTTCAGCACCCCAACCTTTTCTATTCCCACACTTTGAGTTAACTGCCTCTAGTTTCAGTTGCTGATATCTGCTAGGGCTGTATGATGGCGCGGCTACAGTTCACTCTGAGGGTGCCCCACCACACTTTGTCAGAATACCATTTTCTGTGGAGCATCAGGTGCCATAACTCACCTGGGTACCAATGGACATCTTGATCTGTGTGAAATCTGCCCTTCCACTGTGCCAAGGGCATGGACTTCAAGAGCACAAAGAACCTGAGGTGGGAGGAGAAACGAACCAGTTCAGGTAAGTGCCCACCAGGACTGGTAAGAACATAGGTTCAGTTCAACATGGTTTTGGTTCAATTTGACAATGTGATAATTTGGTTTTGAAGCCAACCCACTGTGTGGATGGAATGTCTTATCAACATTCAAGGTCCTGGAACTGCCTTTGTATTCTCATGGGAAAGAGATAGAGATGCAGTTCCACAGTGACTTTCAGAGGCTAGAAGGAAGGCTGGAGACTCTGTAGCTTTTTGTTTTTGTCTTGTGTGTGTGTGTGTGTGTGTGTGTGTGTGTGTGCGTGTGTGTGTGACAGAGAGAGAGACAGACGACTTGAAAGAGTTCTGACTCAACCAAGAGCCAAAGTGAATGCTGAGGCCAAATATGCGGATCTATGGCAAATCTCATGGGGTTTAAGGAAGCTCTCTTCAGAGAGATCCTGACTGAGCACTGCACAATTTCATCAGTGCTAAGAGGCACTTGAAGTATCGCCAAGAAGAGATTGGACAGAGATGGATGAAGTAAAAGCTCATCCTTTCCCTTTCACTTCTCATATTGTTTTCTTAGAACTAGGGGGAGGAAATAGGTGGTACACAGAGTAACTGCACCCCACTAGAATATATGGAGAAAAAAATTAAAATAATAAATGAAATATCTTTTGAGGGTTTCTGATAATGCTATATTCTGAACATACAAAGGGTACCAAATGAAATTTTTTCCAAAATATTTCAAAGGATGATGCCAGTCTGCAAAGCACGTTCACATACTGTTACTGTAAGTCATTTTGTCTCTTAATTAAAGTAAGACACCATATGTCCATCGTTTTGGCCAGTACTGAAAAGAGGGAAAGAAGGTCTCCCAAGCTCTTGTCAAGAAATTCCAATGGACTCTGTTGGGTAGCCGTGTTCTCTGAGACAGCCACTCCTCCCACCCAATCAGTCAGCATCAATTGCATGGGGGGTGGGGGCAGGTCTAAGGACAGACACTGAAAACATGGCATCATCGCCATTTTGGAAACAGAGCCATGAACAGCAGGAGAACCACGCACAAAAAGCTGGCGGAGACCGCAGTCAGGACATACTGATGGCAAGTGCATTTCAAATATGGGAAAGAAAAAGCTTATGACAATTCATGTCTTTGTAAGACACCCCCTCCCAGATGTCATAAACTATGCAAAACCCAAATAGAAGGTACTCTGTTGGTTTTGTCAGCCCTAGGACCTCAGAGGGCAAGCACACATGGGTCTCCCAAGGAGGGGGGAGGGGAAAATTCAGTGCAACAAATTGGTGCACCTGGAAGGATGACTCTAGAAAAGACAAACTGCAGGAGCTTAGGAAAAGCGATGGGGTTAGCAGTGGTCACATGAGTTATACAATGGATTGTGAAATACATAACTAAAATAACCTAGGCCATGAAGACACAGACAAACACGAAAGGGGAAACCCCTGGGTCACTGCCATCTTGTGAATGTGGGAAAATAGCTCAGTTGCTCGAAAAATGGGCCTACTGTCACATGTGTCTGAAAACTCTTTAAGGATTGTGGAGAGCCTTGTACACAAGAGGGGAATCCAGAGAGATGGCCTGGCGACGTCTTTGTATAATTAAAGAGTTGTCCACTGCAAAGGCAACAGCCCCATTGGAGGCTGAAAAGACTAAGGAGTTACTGGCAAATTCAGTCTCAGCCTCAGAGCTTGAGAGAGGGAAAAAAACTGGAGATTTTAACTTGCTTAAGTTTAGGGGACCAGAAATAAAAGGACCCAAGGAAAAAGACAGATAGTAATGAGAAAAGAAATGACCTAAAAATGAAAGTAGCTAAAGCTGCCCCTCAGATTCAACCTTTGATGCAAAAAGAGAAAAAAGTGAACAGTACTGTAGCTAGGAGAAAATACTCCACATTGGAGCTGTTGGGATTAGGAAAGACATTCAAACAATTAAAGAGCCCCACACCACGTGGTTCATGAGGGTATGGGACATGGAAGCGAATAATATCAGTTTACATCCTTCAGAAGCATCACAGCTGAGTTATATAACCACACATCTGTCCTTGAGACATAGGCTGCTTAACCTAGGCCAATACAAGGTGGAGCAGTCCCTAATGGAATGGCTTGTGCAAGGCATTAAAGATATGTGGTCATCACTAAGGGAGACTCCCATGATTAGCAGGGACTGGAGGACCACAGTAGAGGGACAGGTGTTACTGAGAGAACTAGGTATAAGGAAGGCAATATATGGTACCCAGTTTTCTGGGCCAGATAGGGTTGTGTTCACCAGAGATATAAAGGAAAGCTTAATTCAACTGGGACCTCAAAAATGGTATGGAGCTTTATTGGTTTTGCTAAGTCCCTTAATGCGACGGGATTTTTGTAAAGTGAGGGAGACTTTGGCAGATCTAAGTGACTCAAACCAGTGTGTAAAACGTGTCTGTAGAATAACAGAGCAACCTACAAGAGATAAAAACAATAAGACAGAATAAGTGGTCCTGTTGCAGCTGGGATTTTGTCCAAGATTCTTATTCCTCTGGAGCTTCTTCACTCTCATGGTCACCATAAACTCCCTATTCAGAAATCAAAGCAGATCCTTCTGGTTTTAACTCCTCACACTCTGGTGGGGAAAAACAGGGATGAAAAAAACTATAGGAAACTTCGAAAATGCCTTACAATTGCCACTGAGGGAAGCCTGAGACCCCCTTCCATATGGCCAGGAAGGGTGAAGGCAGGAAGGCCAGCATTCTTTCACTGATCAGCCCTTCTCTACCATTGACCTCTTAATTTGGAACAATCATATGCCTTTTATAGAGAAACCTCAGGCCCTGATTGAATTAATATAATCAGTTCTCCAAATTCTTAACCCCACACGGGCCGACTGTCACCTGATGTTATTTAATACTGAGGAAAGATGCCATATCACCCAGGGAGTTTTAACGTGGCTGGGGGAACATGTCCCAGCTCACATAGATAATGCCTCGGCTTATGCCCAAGCCCAGTTCCCCCAAGGAATACTCCCATTGGGAACCTAATCATGAAATAAAACTGCAGAGATATAAATGCTACTGAGAAACCCTTATAAAAATAACAAGAAGATAAAGGGGCCATAAGTATGTAACAAATCTCAGATGTTCTCCAGGGACCCAAGAAATGTCCAGGTTAATTTTATGGGAGACTGTATAAGACATTTAACCTTTACATCCCCTTTGATCCTGTGGCAGCTGAGAACCAGCAAATGGTAAACATGGCCTTTGTTAGTCAGGCCCAGGGAGACAATCGGTGCAAACTACAAAAACTAGAGTGTTTCACTGGGCATGAATGCTAACAAATTATTGAACTTTGCCAGGGAAGTTCATTAGGGAAAGAGAGGCCAAATGCAAGGCAGATCCAAGGATGAGAAAAAGTAAACCTGCGAGCAGCTGCACTAGTGGAATATTCGAGGAACCCCTGCTGGGAGGCTCTGTCATGTCAAAACTGATAGGGAAGCAGGCAGGCAGAAATGGCTCATTCTAAGGCAAGGTTGGGGTGGAACTAATGTGCTTATTGTCTCCAGGAGGGCCATTGGAAAAACGAGTGTTTTTAACAACCTCAGAATTCTCACACAGTCCATCAAGTATGGAGAGAGAGAGGCCATGTGATGGAAGGATGGTAGCAAACTGGACAGAGTCAATATAAGTCCCAGAGGATGAGATAGAACATGAGGTTACCTGCCATGAAAAGCTATAAGACTATGACAGACCAGATACCATTTCAATGGGCCCCAGGGGCCTAGGGTCCAAATGACAATTAGGGGCTGCCCATGAACTTTATGGTCGATACTGGGGCTAAATATTCAGTGGTGAATCAACCCATGGGCCCATCGTGAAGGCATTGTGTGA